CCGATACCAGTACGGGACCAGTCGGTGGCCAGGACGGTTGGGCGATCTGTCTCGAAGATCTGGACACCCTTCGTGACCTCCTCGACGATGGTCCGTTTCGACATGTCGAACAGTGCCTGGAGTTCATCCGTCCACGTGAACTTGCCGGGCTTCAGGAGTTCCCGGAACGGCAGCATGGCATCCGCCATGGCGAATGCGTAGGCGACGTGATTGACGACCCCGAACCACGCGCGGACGTCTGTCAGGTTCCTGGGAGTGGGGAACTCGGTGATGCTCTGAAGGAAGGCATGAGACGGGCGGACTGTGTCAGGCGTGATTTCAAACCCAGCGAATTCCGCTGTCTTCTGGGCGAAGACAAACTTCTCGCTGTTCAGCGTGATGCCGGAACGGCCACACATGTCCAGCCATTCCACAGTGCGCCAGAACACCTCCTCGATGCTGTCTCCCCAGAGAAGGGTGTCGTCGATGCATTTCGTGTAGCAGTCGTGTGACAGGTTTGCCGCCATCACGATCTCGTCATAGCGGCGCGTGTACCCGTCACCGCTGGAGATGTAGCCCTGGGGTGCCGCGCAGTAACGGTATCGGCCCCAAGGGGTCAGGAAAGTGGTGAGGTGTCGATCTTCCTCGTGTAGGGGCACCGAATGGTAGCCATTCCAGGCGTCCAGTATCGTCTTGTAGGTCGACCTCGGCACAGACCGGGCTTGGTGGAAGGGACTTGGGGTATGATGCGTCTCTCTTGCGGCGCAGCGGTTCAGGGGCTGAAGGTCGACGCAACGGCGAGGGCTTCCCGACTTCTTGGAGACGACGACCATCCGGTGGCACCAGGTCACCGGCTCACCAATCGGTACGGGCTCGATGACCCCCAGCTGCACGTCGCGATCCAGGGCGGCCTTGACCTCCGTCTGCCAGTGCAGTGGTACTGGGATAGCCTTGTGGTGGGCCACTGGCTCGGCGTCAGGTCTGAGCATGATGCGCAGGGGTGGACCGTCCATCGGCGTGAGTGGCTGATGTTCACAGGTGTTGAACGTGCTCGCAGAGTAATAGTCGGCCAGCCACTGACGCAGGGCGTCGACGTTGCTCTCCGTTGCCGGCATAGGTAGCTCTGTTGGCTTAGGCGGAGGCGTCTGACGGCGAGGACAGGAACATGCGTTGTACTCGTCGATGCCGATCCCATCCGCGGAGATAGACGCGAGCCCGACAGCGGGGAAAGCGGCGTCGATCATGCCGAGGTCACGACAGGCATCTCGACTGAGGTACATGGTGTCGCAGTTCGGCGTGATGTACACGAACTGTCGAGTCTCCCGCCGAATGCCGTCGCGGTGGCCGGATATACGTAGGATCAACGCTCCGCGGATGTCGATGGGATCGCCGTTTGCTGCGTGCATCCTCAGGGACGTCGGGACGAGGTCAGCCTCCGTGACGCCAAGGCGTCGCATGAGAGAGATGCCCGCCAGACAGCTCTGACAGCCTGTGTCGGCGATGACTTCCTGAGTGATGGTGGCCTGGCTGACCGTGCACTGGAGGCCCAGGGCGCCGTAATCGGCCGGTTGGAGCGAGAGGTCCAGTTTAATCGACGGCTGGGGCTGGCTGGGTTGCTGACACCAGCTCTGGGTGATGTCGTCGTACATGTGGTGCCGCATGGCTGCGGCGGTGCATGAAGCTACCGTGTCGTGCGTTGAGTCTCTGAGGCTACAGAGAGCGTCACTGGGAGCGTCATCATCGCCCTCCGGATGTGTAGTCGCGATACCGGCTGCCTGTCGCTGCAGGCAGGCCTCGGTGAAGTGGCCCCGGCGTCTGCAATGACGGCACTGGCTGCGGTAGGCGGGACAGGATTTAGCGCGAACCGCGACAGAGGCTTTTACGCCATGACCTGTCCGACGACAATATTGGCAGACGTCGGCCGGTCCTGCGACTGAACTCTGTTGACGGCCAGCATCGCCAGCTGATACTCGCCGCTCCTGCTCGCCGATGCTCGCTTTCGCTCGCCGGTACTGGCTGCGGGCGGCGGCCACACCTTGAGACTGACCCAGCGTCTGAGCGGATCGCTTACCAGCCTCTTTTGCTTCGACGAAACGAATGGTCTCTTCCAGGGGGATCGGTGTCTGGCCTTGGGCGAGGAGGTCCAGTTGAATATCCCTGTCCGCTAGCCCCCTGGCGAGCGTATCGCGTGTGACTTCATCCTGGTAGCTGACGACCCGTCCGCATTCGCAGGTGACGTGAAACTTACAGACAGCCGCCTGCCCGCGAAGACGAGCGGCGAACGCCCTGACCGGCTCTTCGTGCTCCTGCGTCATGTTGTGGAGCTGGACGCGAGCCACTGCGAGGTTTTCCTCGCGGACGGCGAGACTTCGCATTGCGGCCAAGACAGTCTGTTCGTCCTTGGATGAGAGGGAGCCCCCCGAGAATCTGGTGAGGTCCCTGCGGAGGCCTTCGTCGCAGCATTCAAGCAGCTGGATGACGCAGTCTGTATCGGTGAGTCCGGTGGCTTTCTTGTACTCCGTCCATCGGCTGGTGAAATACTCCCAGTCCTCGCTGGATCCGGCAGCTGTCACGCGCGGTCTGGTGACCTTTTCGGCAGTAATGCTCACTGTAGGCCGGGTATGGGCCTCGGACTGGTGCATTTGAAGAAGTTGTACGACCACGATAGGTGCGGTATCTGCAGCGACGACGTATTCACAGCCGCTGAATGGGCAGGCTGTTGCCATGGTTCGAGGCTCGGGTTTCGACGTTATGCTTGATTGCAAATTAAGATATGTCCAACATAGATAGGCATGCGCGCCATTTCGATATTCTGTATTCGGAATTCAGTGAATGTTGGACATATCTAGTCCTGCGGACGAGACAGAAACAATGTTACAGAGGGAAGGCACTGCATACATGTCTATGGTTGGGGAAAAAGTTTAATGTTTATCTGTTTGAATTAAAATAAAGTTACCGAATTTCAACAGTATTAATTCAAGTATGTCGTTCTTGGCTCAAAAATACACACAATGTTGGGGACGTCGATTGACCTTGTTATTCCCATTTAATCGACGTCGGTACAAAACTGAAAAGTGCACAATGATTTCACATTTTTTCCAGCCAAGAAAAATTCAGCGTCCACCTTGGAGTTTTCTTAATTGAATTTCATAACAGGAAGCTATGGAAATTAATTTTCCGAGCTTTTTTCCACCTCTTTGTTTGGACGTCTGTTTTTTTTTACATCAGTCCTCTTGCTCGATATGATATCCCTCTTATGACGTCAATATTTAGTGATAGCCGCTGGCTCTTGGGCTGATTTTTGTTGAAGCATATTTTTTGTTGACTGTTGTGTACGATCATGGACAAGAACTAGACATCTTCAAAGTGTTGTTTTGGTGTTTGTGGTGAATGCTTGAATTTTGTATTTTACTAGGGGCAAACTGGCATTACTTTGTGTCTATATATGATCATTTGAGGTGCCTTGAGGTGGTATTAGTCAATATTGCCAGTGAAAATCGCTAATTTTAAGAGATTTAGGTAAGGGCTTCAGTGGCTTAGGCTCCGCACCGATATCGACGTCCTTTTGAAATAGCGACGTCCTCGCGGCTTCAATCACACTCTCCGAAAAATCAATTTCAGGACACTGGCGTCACGACATGACGTCAGCTCGCGAAACGTGATAGCAGCTTGCTGCTATCACCGGTGAAACAGGGCCCGGGTTATGGCAAGCATTTTCGAGAAAAGATATGATAAAAGTCCAAGACAAAGGTCGAGAGAAACAACACCAACATAAAACACCGACTATGTAGCACTAATACTGTCAAATTCATAAAAATATATACATGACTCGATCAGAAATTCACTGTAGATTTCGAAAATGGTGTCAAATGCCACTCAAATACCCCCATTCGCATGTACGAAGCAATAAAACACTCACCTTCAATTCCGCGTGCCATTCTCCATAGGCCACTGTTCACTGATCGCAAAAAAATGAGACCCACATATGACGCGTTTGCTACCAGCCAATCAGCGCTCGAGATGCTGAACGCTGATTGGTGGAGAGGGCCGTCGTTAGCAGTCCATTACACGTTGTTTTTCTTGAACATGTGCGTGAGCGCTGATGCTGCTCACGGGTTGTTTCCATTTTTCGTAATGCTGAAGGCACGGGAGCGAACCCCCCTGCTAGAAGGTCTTATACCTTCTGTCAGTGCGATGAAAGCTTCCCGGCTCCATTACACTGACACCAGCTCACAAGTGTTCATGTCTATTATGTATTGTTAATAAAAGTCATTCCCACTGTTGTGTTTGCGACTCCAGACATCTCGGCTCTTTGGCTATACACGTAAGTACCTCCCTTAGCTTTGATTCCACATTAAGATAGGATCCCACGTTGTTTTTGCTACCGGGTTCACATAAACCGGTTTAACGTAAGACTTGCTGCCCGGCGAAAATTGCCGGAGTAACTGCCCCCTGCTCGGGTATGGCACTAGGCCGACCGAGCAAAAAAAAAAAAAAAAAAAGGCTCCTACTGAAGAAATTCCTTTACCCTTACCATTTTTCCTTTTCCAAGTAGATGGCGCGAGTAGTAAAGTAATCTTGGATGGCGCTGCTGCCGCTGCAGCCGGACCCGTCGACTACTTCTTGGATTTACTCAAGGCTATGTCGTAAAAATGGATTTACTCGATAAAAAAGAAAAGTATTCGTCATAACTCTTTTCTCATGCTAAACAGTGGTGCCCCTCCTCTCCCCTAAAAGAGGACAGCATAGGCCTGGTGCTTGGCGTCCCACAACCTTGTTGTCCAGCCATTACCCAATCGTATCAGCAGATCGAAGTGGGTTCGCGGCGCGCGAAACATGATTGTTCATTTAGGTACGCATTTGTACGCTAGTCTGACGGGCTGGTTGGCGCGTCTCTTACCCAGCTGGAAACCAACGGAACGGGAATGGGAATGCAGCAAGCATTCATCCCATGGTTCGGAAGGAACGGACGGGCATGGCATCACACGCCAGCCCTCAGCAGCCAACAGCCACACTCCAGCTTGGATTCTCAATATACTTGAATGTATTAATGAAAATCTCCAACTACAAATCACAAAATATGAACGCAGCAGCTGTAACTACAAACAATTAACACTGACGAACAGATAATTCTCCACACACTGTCCATATTGTTCACGGCGGGCGGGAGGGCGGTCGCGGCGGAGCGGTGCGGGCGGCGGCGCCGCGTGCCCACGAGAACACAGCCATCGAGACACGGCTGGCGGCGGCGGCGGCCGCAGCGGGCCGTCCCTCAGAGCCCGCCCCGGGCTCAGCGCCCACTCACTCCTCTCGCACTCACTCTCGGTCCGCGCGCCTCACTCGGCCCCGGCCACCAGACTCGGCCGGCGCTGAGGTCGTCGCGCTAATATGCAAGGCATCCACGGGTCTCACGGGACCCGCTCCGCCATCTCGTGCTGGTGGCGGAGGGTTCGTCACATGCTGTTGTCCCCGCGCGCCGCTCTGATCACGAGGATCCCTAACGTCCGTCCACTGTCCAGCGCCGCAGCGGGGCGCGCGCGGCCGGCGGGCGGTCCGCGCGGCCCGTCCGTCCGTATCACATGGAGAGAGCCGGCGGCCGAGCGGCGCCGAGCGCAGCTGCTGGGTTTGTACAACGTTGCGGTGGCTGTGGGCCGTCGCTGCTGCCTCCACTATCACTCGCACCACTGGCGCACGCGCTCGCACGCCGGGCGAGGCGCCCCCGAGACGTCCCTCAGCGCCGGGCGGCACTGCGCTCCGACTGTCGCGCTCACTGGCACGCACACGTATGCGCGCTCGACCACCGATATAAAACCCAGCAATTATACAGAAAATAGCATAGCCGCCCTGTGTGAGCGGGAGGTGATGGCGGGTGGCGGCGGCGGCGGCGGCGACGTCACCGTGACTAGGGCCGGCTGGCGGGGCCGCGCAGCGCCGCTAGAAGTCGGCAAACTCCTTGGCACATTTCTCCGTGGACGACACGTGTAACCTCTCCTCCTCGTAGTCGTCGAAGTTGGACGTGTCGCCACCGCCCTTGCACTTGGGGATGAACGGCGCCTCGATCTGCAGACAAAGGGAGAAAGAACATCACATACTGCACCGGTCTGCACTAGACGCACGATTGGGGCGACGAAACGCCATCGCGTGACATTTGATAAAACCCACATCATCGAACTGAACCAACTATTACAAACGGCCAGCTAACAATGCTCTAAAAATAGCCAGCCATCCCTCTGAATTAAAGTCAGGCACTGTAATAATGCATGTCACATTCGGCGGCGTTTGATTATCCAGATGGCTATCGGCTGCGGTTCCGTGTAGGGCTCAGCACCGGACACGAACACAGTCACCAAATGTGGCGCCGGCGGCTGCCAATGGGCCCGGCACGCCACTCAAGTCCTGATTGACTCGAGTACCACGTACTCGAGATAGCCGCATGTGTGTCAACAAGGCCCGCTGGAAAAAAGGTGACACGGCAGAGTGGCGCCGCACACAGTGCGCCGGCGGACACAGCCGGACCTCACAGGTAAGTACGGGTCGAGGTCAGCAGCGCCCGGCGGTCACGCCGCCACACAAGGAAGTCCACAACGCGGACATCGTACGAGTACAAAGTTAGCTTAACGACCGACTTAGCCCAGAACATCAATATTCATTTGGGGGCGAGGCCATTTAAAGCCGGTAATTTTTAGATCAAGAGGACTGTATTAAAACACTAAGTGGCTTTTTTATGGAGGCAGCGTAAGAAGGAGCCGATATGGAAAATGCTCTGAAAACATGGTCGTTCGTCGAGATCTCCCTCTCAGACAAAATCGAGTCAGCGCTCAGGATGTGGAGACAAAGGCGAGCTGGAATGTTATTTTCTCCCCGGTTAGCCGAGACAAAGCGCCGATTTGGGCCGGACGTCGCCGGTCAGACCGTTCTATTCGGGCCATTTTTGGCCCGGACAGTCACCGGCGGACCGCCGCTCGACCAGAAACGCAGCGGCCCCGCAGCCGGTGCCGTCAACATAAGCCTTCCGCGTTTTTATACCCAGCTAAACGGTGTGGGGCAGGCGGTATCCGTGCGGCTTTGGGCCGGCGGTCCGAGGACCAGTTTGGCAGGACCAACATCCGTAATGCCGGCGCCGGCTCGGGCCACGTTCACGGCCGCCGAAACTGCCGTAACGGTGCGGCCCGACCCGCGCCGGCCACCACCACGTACCTTCTTTTGGTAGATGGCGATCCAGTCGGTGGAGTGGAACCACTTGTGTCCCTTGATGTCGTTGACACCGTTCTTGAGGTTGCCGTAGCGCTTGGTGAGGTCGACCTGCAGCAGGTTGCGCAGCAGGTCCTTCAGGTCCGAGCTGAAGTGGGACGGGTAGCGCACCTGGACGGCAGAGTAGTCAGTCAGTGACACGCACGGTGTGACAGTCTCCAACATAACGACTGATGTTAGCCAGGCCCCAGACTGTCCTGAGCGACCTTCAGCGGCCGGTAATCAGTCAACAGACGATACAACACAGAGCAGTTCGGCAGATAGCGATGGCGTAACCTAACGGGACATGCAGCGCTCAACAGACGCCCCGTCACGAGACCTCACCCTCCCTCGCCCTCCCTTCCCAAACACTGTTGCTAACGCCCTTCAGTGCCAGTTTCTGCGTCTCACGACTCTGCAATGCCGACTGCGGTTTCATAAACACTCATGTTACCATGAGCACGCCACTAATAACAGCACATGATGAGTTCCCATTCCTCCTGCTGCTGAGGGGCGTATATGACCTGCAGTCCGCCCCTCCCCGGTCCCTTACGGGGGCGTGTGGCGGTCACTGCCCACCACTCGAGTCCAGAGTCCTGCTCTGCACCGCCGGGTAGTGGAAAAGGCGACCTGGCAGCGCCTGCTAGCGTGATCGCACGCTGGGGCGGTGGCGGCGTCTGGCTGTCCCCTCAGGTCACGAAGTGGCCGGTCACCCCTCTCCGAGGAACGACGGGTCATTGACTGTCTAGTGTCTACCAGTAACCGGCCAGAAAACAAAAAACTTATTTTCAAGTACTCCAAAAAAGTGGCTGAATGCATGGGTGTAACGTTCGTTAAAACGAGCTCTGAAGTTAACTCGGCAGACTTCAAGATCTTATATTCGAGAACCTTGTTCTGTAACTATCTAATCAACAACAGAATTACTACTGGTTTGCCTTCATCAGATTTCATCTCCTGCTAAAATAAAAAAAAAAATCGAGCGAATCCTTCTACCGTCCTTTGCCACCCCACCGCCATCCCATCTCGTCCCGCCGCCGTCCCGTCCCGTGCCATCGGGTCCGATCCCACCCGTCCACCCCTGCCGCCGGGCACTGCGGACCAAGCGGCGCCGAGCCGCCGAGTCAACAAACACGGGCCGGCAGCGGCGATCGATCCGCCCTGCCTCTGCCTCTCCCTCCGCCCCGCGCCGCACTGCACCGGCCGCGCTGTAACCGCATTACCGCGCCTCCGCGCGCCCGGTGCCGCCCCGCCCCCGTCGGCCGGCTCGATCCGGACCTCTCGTGTCGCCGGCAGGCGGTGTCGACCTGCCCCGGCAGCTCCCCGCCGGCACGGCTGTCTTCATTAGGGGCGTCTCAGGGCGCCGGGAGAGCCCCGTCCGTCCGTCCCTCCCACTGGCGCTCGTGGCCACGTCAACTTAGCGTCCAACGACTGACAGGTGAGCCGCAAATAGAGCCGAGGCGCACTGAGCGGGCGAGTAAACCAAGCCGACACGGTGCACAGAATGTGGACACCGGCAGGTGAATGATAAATACTAGCTGTTCAGCAGATCCCACGGTCTCAGTCACCATAAATGGTTTAATAAATGATGGTGGATGTTGCTGCGTAGTAGTGGAGTTTACGCAATGATTTGATATAGCATGTGCTATTTGTCAACGTAAAGTCAGTGTAAATATGACCTACCCGAGCAAAAAGTTCTGAACTTCTCCACATACTGCTAAATGTAATGTCTAGTCAGCGGAAGTTCATTTACATTGCAAAGTTCAACGTCCTTTCAACGCAAAATTCCTAGTAAGACCAGGAGGGACCATTTCTCTAACTTCCACAAAGTCACAGATATTACGTAAGGAAAAGTGTCGCAGAGTGGCGAAATCCTACAAGTCTTTCTAAAAGGGGAAAATCAGGAGCGTTCCACGTCTTCCTCACCCCACTGCGGGTCACAGCACACCTCACACTACACCGCTCTCCGCACCCCCGTGGACGAGTCTGCGCGCGTCCGTACCTTTCCGGAGACGATCCGCTCGTAGATCTGGATAGGCTGGTCGGCAAAGAAGGGCGGGTAGCCGGCGGCCATCTCGTAGATGAGGACGCCCATCGCCCACCAGTCCACCGCCTTGTTGTAGCCCTGTGGCGGAGAGAGAGACATGTTAGAACCAGTCGAACACGATCGGTGCACACGGGCCCGTGTTTAGCGCAGGTGACGGCTTCATCCACCACTGTGGGCTATCACCGTGTATAATACCCACTCGTGTCTGTAATCCCCCCGTGTCGTCAGAGGCGGGTGGTGACAAATACACTGATCACCGGCGATATACAGCGTCGGCGGTGTGTCAGCGGGTGGTGTCAGTGTCAGCGTGACACACCACACATCCGCCTGTCTGCGACTGTCCCAGACAGTGTCTGCCGTCACACATTCACGCCACCAACACGCAAACGTCGCGACACGGTGTCTGGGCGATTACTCAAGTCTCCCTACGGACACTGTCAGCACTGACTACCAACAAATGAGCACTCCTGCATCCACGACTAGCTTTGTGGCCGAGTGGCAGCGTCCACCACGCTCCGCTCGAGACCCGGTCGTACCTTGCTGAGGATGATCTCCGGCGCCAGGTACTCGGGGGTGCCGCACAGCGTCCAGGTCCTGCCCTTGACCCGCTTGGCGAACCCGAAGTCAGTGACCTGTGGGAGGGACAAAGCCGGGGTGTTACAGTTGCTAACGCGTACACAGCACACGCATACATACAGCCCGGGCACTTGGCCGGGCGAGGGATGGAGCGGGGTGTAACGGGGCTGAAAACAATGCAGGACAACGTGCCCGAGAATCTAATAGGACAGCTCGGATAAGCCAGTAAGCAGCGAACAATAGCGGCGGTGAGATGAGCTTACACGCTTAAATCCGATTTTTTGCTCGCGCACTTTCAACAGTTGTATTTATGTAACCCCACGGATGCCAGCGAGGGCAACATGGTATTTACGACTTGATTTATAACTGTCCATCACACTTATTTCCCGAAATAGCATTCGCAAACATTCATTGGCCCCGTGCGCCCAGCGACTGATGCGTTTTGGTAGCAGCGACTGGCCTACCGGACATTATAAATCACACCTGGCTGCAAACAGAAACAAACTTTCCACGGAGCCTGAAATAACCCGGTGGAAGTTTGTTATTGGTATCGGGCCGTAAATCGCGCTCACACGTCACGCGGCCTTCCGAGTTATCGCGCCACTCGGCCCGGCGGCAGATAGCGTTTCAGCTGGGCGGCACGAGTGCCAGGCACTCAGCTCGCCGCGCTCCGGCGGATCACGGCGGGTCGAGTGGGGCTCCGAGTGGCCGCTGTCCAGCGGCGCCCAGCCGACCGACATTCCGCAGGACCGGACTCGCTCTCTGTCCCACCGCGGCCGGCGCCGTGCGACGCGTAGCACCGCAATGCGACCACGACCAACAACAGGAAAACGGCTCCAGCGAGACGGCTACCCACGGCCGGCGTCCACACTGGCTGTCGCCGCCGCCGCCGAGCGAGCGCTTCTAGGAACGGCTCCAAACAATACGCAGCACGCCGGCCGACAAGGCCGCTGTCGGCGCCGGACCAGTTTTCGGGCCGCCATGTGCCGGCCTGCATACAGCCGTCCGAGGGCACGGCGTCGCGGCGGACGGCGGGCGGGCGGGCGGCGGGCGGCGGACGGCTGGGGAGAAAACAGAGACGGACAGTAGAAGGCCACGGCGGCGCGGCGGCGAGCTGACAGCGTGCCGCTATCACAGCCGCCATCAGAGCGCGTCTCGCTCGTCTCGCGGCGGCCGGCTGGCCGTGTTTACCAGATCGCCGGCGGCTGATATCCTCACACACCGTTTACGACTCGCATCGTCGCATCCTTCCGCCGAGGCGGCACCGGAGGCGCGCCACTGACATGGTCACGTCCCCGGGCCGTGTCAGACGAGCCGAGATCGCGGCGGGCGCCCAGCGGAGCAGCCAGCCCTCCGAGACGACCGGTCCGCCTCTAACCGGTCCTGAGTGGCCGCTGGATCAGCCGGCCGCCGGGCCGACTCGGCCGGCTGGCGGGCCGGAGCTGTGATGGTCATCGCGCCACTCGGCGGGCCGTAACCCACTCTCGCCACCGCGAGCAAGCACCGGGCGGCTTTTAACACGGACGGCGCAAGTATGGGGTAGCAGAGAGTCAGATGTATAGCTGTACACTCTGGGCGTTCCGCTACGCGTTTGATTGGCCCGACCTTCACAAGTCTCGCCAGTCGCCGTCATGATCAGTCCCACCTCCACACGCCCACACTTCAGAGCAGTTCGACCGCACGTCGGCTGGGGCGATATCCACGCTCGATAGAGAAACACAGTCGGACAGGAACTCATCACCGCACCACCGCCGCCGCAGCAGCACACCAACAGTAAACAGCCTCTAATTAGATTTTGCGAGACGGTACCGGCTGTAGTTGGTTTGGCAGGCGCTAGTGATGACAGCAGTAATCAGCAATCACGGCTGGCGCGCCGCTATGATGGATAAAGCACGGAGACGGATACAACACGTTTGTAGACACGTAAGCACATCCGGCGGGGTAGCTGGTCCCATGGTTTCTGTCAGTCCTACTTCATACCATGACCCGAATTCTCAGAGAACACATACCAAGGTTGTTTCAAATACAGTTCAGTCTCAGATAAAGGCGGCTGGATAACCTAATACACAATATAGCCCGGTATTCGAAGCGTCGTTAGCTGTTAAGGCCGAACACACTCGCGAACAGAACGGGCTGTCATTGCAACTGTGAGCGACGACCGGCCGCGCCGCTCCAGCGGTGTTTGGGTGACCGATTGACAAATGATCGCGGCCCACGTTCCGAGTCGAGCGGACGAGTACCCAGTCCAGCGAACAGAGGCGGTGGCCGTCGCTCGGCGCGGAGTCTGACGGATGGTGCCGGCCGTCTGGGCACTGTCGATTACTCGGAGTGGCAGCGCCTCCCGTGCACACGAGCGAGCCAAAATAGATGATTGGTGGCAGGGTAATGCAGCGAGAATTTCAATCTCGCTCAGAGTGATACTCACGTGTTGCTGCTTTATAGCCACTTGACCCAGATGAACATCGTGCCAGGTTTTTACCCAGCTGCAATTGCAACGCTTAGCCTTAGACCATTTGACGAATCGTTTTCTCCTCGATCCACGTGAATTCAAAATCTTAAATCACGCGACCTACTTTCGATAAAAGGCGTCTCCTGTCTGGGAACGTGAGGCCCTTTCGTTTCAGCCCAGCAGGCTCATGTGTTCTTTGAATTCCTCTGGGGCGTAATCAGGTCGACTGCACGTCGTCTCAGTTTTCCTCTCGCCCGCGCGCCGCCTTTGGGAAGCTAAGGGTGCGCAGTTCAGCACCGCCCTGGGTCCGTCTGGCACCGCGGCTGACGGGGGCGGCTCACAGGGACCGCTGCAACCCCCGTCAGTCCGTCAGTCCGTCAGTCTGTCAGTCCATCAGTCTATCAGTCTCGGTCCCGTCAGAGTCGGTTCGGAGCTCGGGCCGGGTGGAGGCGAGGGCGGGGCGGCTCCGGCGGCTCCGCCTGAGTCCACCTGGCACCGGTGGTGATGAATGAACACCACCGTGCTCCACCAAGGACGACGGGAAGTAATACATCACACAGGTGGCCGTGCTCCGCCTCCGCAGTCCCCTGATAAATGGCAGACTGCTGGGCCGGCGCAGGAGCGCTACATGAATTTCATGGAGCGAAATCATTTCGTGACCAAATCACTTCCATATGAACTCTGAGCCCGCTTTGCAGACGGTTGAGACTGCAGAGTAGGCTGCCATACACCCGCCAGGACAGACTGAAGCAATCTCTGCCCAGTAGCCGCCACCATATCAAGCACCGACAGCGACCCTGTGTGATGACCAGACAGCCAGCATACACACTGGGACATGTCAAAGGGTCCGTCAGATTAAAGGAAAAGGGCCACCTTTAACATGGGGATTGAAACTGAGATAGCCATCTTGTAGCCCGTGTCCGAAAACCTATCTGTCTTCCTGCTTACGGCCGATTTCGGCCTCCATTCGTAGTTATCGGTAATTTTAAAAGAAAATACGCCAGGAATGCGTCCTTATCCCAGGAATGCGTTCTTATCCGACAATACAGCCACCCGCGGCGAGGCTTTGGTTTTTTACCAATCAGCTCCAACCAGCTCAGCTTTAACCAATCAGCTTATCTGACACAATCCGACGAGTCTGTCTTCTGAACGCTGATTGGCTTGAGTGTGACGTCATCGCTATGCCATCATACAGTAGGTGCCGTAGAGAGTATCAACATAGTACCAATATGTTAAATAGTTTTAAATACTTTTTCGCGAATTGTGCACTTCTGGCACCAGTTTTAAAAAGAAAATGAAAAATAATAATGTCAAAATGAAAAACAACGATATCTTCATATTTCACGAAGGTGGCCCTTTTCCTTTAAGACGTACCACTGTCCAGATGATAAAAGGACAAGGTCGCCTTACAAGCACACGTGCAAACGACAGCGTCGTGGTCATTTTAAGACCCACCGATCAGCCAGCTCTTTCGCGTGAGCTGTCACACATGTAAGTTTCAAAGCCGTCAGCACATATTGCAATCGGCCATTTTACGGCTTCCGCCGTCCTTGACATGCCATATCAGATCGATAGCGAGTCATATACTGCAGAATAAATGACTGATTTCTCCCCGGCAGCCAGCGGCCGTCGTCCCACGCTGTGCAGACGCTGAGGCCGTATCGGGGCGCTGCGGCGAGTGTGTGTGCCCTGCGGTGCGTGAGAGCCTCCCCAGCAGCTCAGTGTGCCTCCTCCCCTCGTCCCCAGCGCCGCCGCTGTCCTGCGGGCGCGTCCGACCAGATAACGGCACTGAGAGCTCGCCGCCCGCCCGCCCCGCCGGCCGGCCGCCGTCCGTCCTCCGCTCAGCATGCACTCCGCATCGCTGATGAGCGTCCGGCGCCGGCCGGGCCGCTGCCCCCGGCGGACCGGATCCACCGAGCAGCGCTCAGCACTCGACAGCCGCCGGCAGGGGCCTGCTCACACCAGCCTGCAATGTAGCGATACGACGCCGGTTGGGCCTATCGTGTGCGTTGTATAACACCAATGTGTCATACCACAACCACCAGTACTCCCAAGGCCACAGGGCATTAGCACCTCTCGTTCCACACAGGTGCGACTCTCCACCTTTGCGACAGGTGTTACCCCTCGCCGTGGCACATTTCCCCTGTCACCCTCTATCGGTTACCTATCTCTCCTCTCACTGCCCACGCTCTATCCAGCCAACAGCAGCGTTGGGCAGACCTATCAGTCTACAAGTGGCACTCGCAGTCCGTATTCGGCCCGCTCCGCCCTGTCAGGCCCAATACTCGGCGTTAGAGCCGCGATCACAGCCGGAGCGGCGCTGGGCAGCCGCCGCCCCTAAATGGGCGGCCACTTTTCTTCATGACTACGATCTGCCGACAGGCGTGCCCCGGCGGCCGTCCTTCGGCGCGCCTCGATGAAGATGGATACTAATAGGAGAGCGGACACACAAAACGAATCGCTAATTGTTTGTTAGGAGACGGTGGCCCAGTTTAGTCGGCACGGCTGAGCCCATGTCGGGCTCCCGCAGATATAGAAGGGCGTGGTGACACGGGCGCCGCCGGCTGGTTCGACTCGGCCCATATACGTATACAGGCTGGATAGAACATGTTACACAACACTGACCTACACCTCGGCCGTCAATGGCACCAGTGATAAATGACGCATTTGGAGGGTTCCAGCAATTCTCCTGGTACAATACAGCCTTGTCGCCGCTGTTCGACACTCGTTGTCCTTTAATGATAAAAATGGCAGGCATTTGATGACATTGTGCAGGAACATTCCCCATAGCAGACTGCGCGCTTCATGAACACACAGCACTACTAAAATCGGAGGTTGACAAAGAACGATAACATCACATTGAGTTCACCGAAATATTTTGCCGATTAATGGTATCTTAGCATGGGTAGTGTAGCCAGAGCCTACACAATACATGCACATGTCTCAGCGTATCCCGGGGTCATCGCTGCCCATAACATTCCGTCACCGTCGCCCCACAGACCCACCTTGATGTATCCCTGGCTGTCTATGAGCAGGTTCTCGGGCTTCAGGTCCCGATAGATGAGGTCCAGGTAGTGCAGGTACTCGAACGACAGCACGATCTGGGCCGCGTAGAACCGGGAGTGCGGCTCACTGGAGGCAGACGGGTCGGCTGTCAGTCAGATGTCCCGGGAGGCAGGTCTCAGGGGAGCGGGGCAGACGGGACACCAGACAGCAGGGCTGTCAGACGGCCACCGGATCGGGAGACGGCTGACAGACACCGGCAGCAGGCCGTCATACACAGTTACACTTTGATGTGTTACATTTTGAAAATTAGAGCACACCGCTTCAAGATGTGAAACAGTATGATGAGATACACAACATATCTTGCTTTTGATAAAAAAGCAAAACGTTTCAAGCAAATGTGAAGATTGGTAGAAATCCCGACAGCAAAGCTGCTAATATAGCGACAAGCAACGCCGGAACCAAAGCGAAGGGAAAAGAGCAGATAGGGGACAGTGGGATGCAGTTGCTGGGCGCATGGCGATGGAAGGTGGATCGTGGACGATAACTGGTAGACGTTGAGTGATTTCTCACAGTGGATGGTAGGTGGCAAAAGGTAGACAGGAGTAAACAGTCAGTGGACAGTGAGCAGTGGACGGCGAACGTTATTTGGTAGACGGGAGTTGGCGGTCAGTGACGGTGAGCAGGACGATGGATGATGATGAAACTGGACAGATGCGCAGCACCCAGCCCCTAAAGTGTGCCTCAGCTCTTGACACTGCGGTGAGCCGACGGACAAGCTCGTCCTGCCTAGCCCCACATCATTCATCCACTCATCAAACGAGCCCGTGCAGACCACCAGTGCTGTACCCCGTTCCGTTACACTACTACCAGTGACATCAGCGACAGTGTTAATACACAGCGACAACAAACCCCAAAGCCAGTAATATAGCTGTGGCCAGCCCAGACCGCGCCATCGGCAGCCAGGTCCGGCGGGCGGCATGCAGCACCGAAAACGTTACGTAAAACCGGCCCGGCAGCTCGCGTGCACACTGCCCGGACGCCCACCAGAGTATGCAAAACATGTGATCGACATCTCACGGTGCCCATAAGCTAACACGAGACATGAGCACTTTGTAGGCCGAGTCAGGAGAGCGCAGCATGCAAAACAATACAGAGTGGGTTCACATCACAAGGCCACGGATGTCACAAGCAGCAGCCAATGGGGTATTGGATGATACAGGCGCGAGGATGAAATAGGGCCATTGGTCAGTCACATCAGCCAGGCACTATATACAGCTTCCGAAATCGGCAGATCGCGCGGACGGAACGTGAAAAACGGTCCACTCAGGGTCGTTATGATACAGGGTTCCATTCGGACCGAATCACGGCACAGTATGTTACAGGGTTCCATTTTTAAGCCTCCTTCGCGCATGCCGTGCCATTCCCAGACACTGGTGAGTGGCTAGCATGCAGGGCTCCGCCACCAGCGCCAGTGCCAAGACGGCCGGCTTCCATCACCGCCCGGAGGGCATGCAGCCCAGGGACCGTGCCGACGTGCGAAATGACGAGCCGCGTCTTACCTAAACCGGCCGCTTTTTCGCAGGTGAGAGAACATCTCACCACCGGGCACATATTCTAACACCATGTATAAATTTGAGTTGTCCTGCAAGAGACAGAGGGACGTCGGTTAGCGACGCGGGGCGATGTTCCCGCAGGTGGCTGTACCTAGGAACAGGAGCCGGAGGCACCCATGAGCAGGAGCGTGAAAGGTGCAGGCAAGGCTGGCGGCGGCCCTGAAAAGCAAACCCCGTGATGGCCCCGCAGGCAGCATTCGTAACACTGGAAAGCACACCCATGGGACGGTCTGTGCGGCGGAGCAGCTCCAGTGAAAGACGTCATCCCTGATCGATGTTGATAAGCGGACCTGGCAGCGATCCCTGAGGACAAATGTTCTACACACAGCCGCTCGAGCCTGATCGGGAACCCCGACCCCGAGTATGTGTAACACCACCCGATCGCTGTCGATGCCCTGAAATGTTGTCACGTGTGATGTGTATTCAACAGATCAGGACGACCCGGGCCCGCCGCCCTCTCACGTGAGGCCGTGCCGTTCGCTGCGGTAGCACCGCCGCAGCCAGCGGTATAGGTCGCCGCCGGAGCTGTACGACGTCACCAGGAACAGCGTGGAACAGTTCTGGAGGCAGCGGAGAGGCGCGCGACGGCCGCTAAGCGAGAAAGAGTCACACAAATCCACCAGCAGCACAGGCCGCACTGGTCGAGCATTGGTGTAGCCTGCCGCCAGCCTAGCTAATAGCTGGCAATTACAAGCCGATCATCAGGCGATCACTAGCCGACTTCTAGCGACTACGGGGTACGGAGCAGCAGGGCGGGGCGTTACCTAAACCGTCCCATGCGGCGCAGATGGGAGAACATCTCGCCGCCGTTAATGAAGTCCAGGTTGAGGAAGAGGCTGCAGTTATCCTGCGGACGGCGGTCGGCCGCGGTCATTAGTGTTCCAATCAGCGAGCCGGCGGCGCGCGGCGGGAGACGCAATCTGCACGGCCCACCGACCGCCGCCGGCGGGGAAAGCCACGCCCCCACGCGCGCGCCGGCCGACCGCCGACTACGCCCACGTCGCCCACATCGCAGCACGGCGCGGCGGTGGGCCCCGCCGCAGCCGGATCACAGCCCCCGGCCCCCGGCGGCCAGCGGGCCTGCCGATCGCCGAAATAGGGCCAGCCAGGGCCGATAGTCGGGTAGGTGTCAGTTTATGAGAGCCGTGAAGCACCCAGAGCGGAGCGGAACGGCGCGCGCGAGGAAAGGCGGCGCGCCGAATCCGGCGGCGGCGGGAGACGGGGAGGTGGCAGGAGGGAGGCTCGGCCGCGAGGGAATTGAGACATAAACAAGCCGGCTTCGTCAGATGGAGTTTGGACACCGTGTAACGCAACAGGGCTCAGCGGCGGCCGAGTGGCCGCTCCCCGGACGCCCCATCAGAGATTACAGCGCCGGGTGGGCAGACGGGGGCGGCAGCGACCACCGGCGGCTCCCGGCCCGAGCGCCTATACAGGTCTCCCCACGGATCACCAAGGAAAAAAAACGCGCCGGCTCAATAACGCCTAACGACCCTACCAGAGAATGCTCTCCAACACTCAGGCATGCCTCCGGGTAAAAGGTGCTAAGCACGCGATTGCATCAGTTCCAGACAGGCTCCTACTAGAGAATGGCATCAATGCGGCGTAAAGCAATCAAAATCTATCGACTTCGGCTTCGAGGTTTAGTACCGACTTCTGCTGAAAACGTCTGAAGCAACACGCTTAGGCTGTCTGCAGTTGTAAATCTGCAGATAAGCCGAAATGACTGCCATGTCAGGCTTCAGAACCACTTCCAGGAAGGCTAAGTTTTCAATGAAACTCGTTTTTATCCGGTTCATCGAATACGACTAGGACCATTATGGCAATTCTGCAGAACGGAAACACCACCGTCGATATATCTTTGGCGCATTTCAGTCTGACAGGCCGGATTTCTGGAAAGGTACCAACAGATGCACTTCCCAATGTAATGTTTTATTGGTAAGGTCACGCACTTGTTTTATCCAAGAAATCGAATATTACTCGTTTCTGACGAGATAAGAAAACAAATTCATTTATATTCTTCTCCCGCTACGCCATCCTTCACGTTCACACTGTTTCCATCCCAAACTCTGACAAACTAACAAAGAAGAAGAACTGGCTTTGAAACTAGTTTAACGTGCAAATCATTATCATAATTTGTAAATCAAATCATAATTTGCAAATCATTATCAAATTCGTACTGGTGCATTTACCTCAGCGTCTGTATAACACACTAGACAACAAGCGAGAGGCCCGGTAGAGAAAAGGGCAGAGTGGCGTTGGCCTCAGCAACAGACGTGCACTAAAACAACAACGCCACCGCCGGCTTCCCGTAGCCGATATTTTCTGTCCGGGACTCGGAAACATCTCAACAAACCATAAACCGTCGGCAGAATTTTTGCCAGCCAAAGCGTCCCAAGGTGACTGCGGACGAATTTTGGTCAGCGGCGCTCCTCGGGCAGACCGCAGCCACGGACAGAAGTGCAGACGTGAGCGACGCAGCTCACAGATCTCTATCAATGGGCCCAGGCATTTGCCAAGGAAAATATGGCAGCCCTTTTTGGAAGGTGGTCGGATGATTGCACAGAAGAAACTTGACAGAGTGGAATGCAGCAAAACAACCGGCTGCCAAAGCCGCTAATAAGGCAAAAGATTGGGATATAATGATAGCCGTGCGATGTGTGCCGTATCTGATGGTACTAATTCGGCAAGACACCGTCCTTTTCGTGGAACAAGAGACTTACGAAGACAGATGGTGCATTTTCTCAGTATGAGACGCTTAAGATAAATTTCAGATAAATGTTAACGAGGTTATCTAGTGACGGACCGATTCATCACCACCTCAACGAACTACGAAAATGGCTCGTCCGACTCACTAAGCCAGATAACGGCAAAAGTGAGGTGTCACCTAACCCGCATCACTTCAAGCGGCATCTTATCAGTCGCTCTTCCTTCAGCAGCAGGAATCCAATCTGTCCAAACCGAAGCTTACAACGCCTCGGCTGTTGCTCATATCACAGTGCCGGCCCGGTTATCCATTAGCACGTGCGGTGGTAGCGCCGTACGTGCTAATGCTATGCTAATGTTCCAGCCGAAACGGACAGAAGACAGTCGGGGACTCGGGACTGTCCGCTTGGGAACGGGCAACAGCCAGACCGAAGCGGACGGATGGTCGATCCGGCATGAGCCATGCCCAGGCGATACATAATTCACAAACACACGTAACAGCCAGCAGTGACGCAAGAGGGCAGGCTGCGACAAATTCGGTAATTATTTCATCATTTTTATAAACAAATCTAACATAAGAAGATATGACCAGTACATAAGTGAGCTACCCAGTATACAAAAGGCCCAAAAACTGGATTGGACCCTGACCAGACCTAACCAGACCCACCCCCCACTTTCAATAAAAACATTAGGCGAGCCTTGACTACCCTATCATGTCCTATCGTGCCCCCTCTGTCCCGTCCCCTCCCCTGACACCCACTTCCAGCAGGACGTCCGGCAGTGGGTGTGTCGTGTTCTCACCTTAAAGTGGTACTGCAAGCTGACCAGGAACGGGAAGTTGATGGCCTGCAGAATCCGCTTCTCGTTGAGAGTGTGCTCCACTTGTTTCAACCGTACCACCTGCAATCAGAGGGGCCGTTAGTCGCGGTCACGGCAGGCGGCGGCACGCAGTGGCTAACACCCACGCGAGCAGAGCTGGCAGCGGGCGGCACGGCCCTATGGTCGGTAATCTGCGCCATCGGACGGCACCGCCGCCGACAGGGGGGTGGGCGAAGGCCGCCAACACCCGCGGTCCGACACCGCAAGTGTCGCGCGCGACAGACGGCAGCAGTTGCGTAACGCGCTCTCAGATCCGCCGCCGAGATACCGCTGCCAGTTAGCGCCGGTGATGGTGGTGATCCGGCCGCACCCACCGAGTCCCCGCACCTGTGGCGGTGTCGCGGCAGCAGCGTCCGGGACCTCATCAGCGGCATGGGCGTCGGCCGGTCAGCGCGGCCCGGTGTCTCAGGTGTAGGGCACACCCTGGGCGGCCAGAGCGACCGAGACGGGCATGTCGGATCGGGCAGGCTCTCCCAGTCCTGAGAACTCTCTGCCCCGACCGACCGTCCAGTCCCAGACAGACGCCCGGCGGACTGGCCGGCGCCTGACCGCCATTGGACAGAGGTGTAATGACCGTACGACGGATCGCCACTTTGCCGTCTCGGCCCTCCCGCCTCGCCGCAGCAGCAAAAACCGACCCTCCTTCGCGGCGAGAGGATCTTACGTCAGCCTGAGGCAATGAGATGGCCAGGTGCACCGTATAGCCCAGTGTGTCCTCCAAGAGACCGGCCACCAGTCTCCCCACCCAGCTATCTACGGCCGACCAAACTAGCCAGGCTGGCCGTGACCAAGCAGTTCTGCATGGGTGACCAGATCAGTGACTGTATCACTCCTCTGACGGGCCCGCCGGCAGTGCAGCTGCGGCTGTCCTCCGGTCGTGCGGACCGGACCAGATGAAATCCCGGCGGCGCGGCTCGACGTAGGTGCCAAGGTCACTCTCCCACCGGTCCCCGAGGGCCGCCCGGTCCCGGAGTGCCGGCCGGCTCGCTCACGGCAGCCGCAGGCCAGCGCTGAGGCGCGGGCTGACCGCAGCTCACAGGTGTGTGGCTGGCGGCGGTCAGCAGACGGCTCACAGCGAGCGGAGAACGGCAGGCTGGGCAGGGGTGACGCCGAGCAATAGTCGGTCAGGAAAACAGGGATGATGACAAGGACGAGCCTTTTAACAGACAGAAAGAACATCGGGACGTAGTGCCCACGCATTGTGATCCTCCAAATACTTAATCCCTCGCAACATGCTACTGGTTTGTAAAGCCGCCACTCGGTAAGTTGCGCCGTTAGCAGACACGTCACTCGCGTGTCACTATCTGCAGTCGGTACACGCCGACAGCTGTGGGAAAAAGACCGTACTGCAGCGGGCCCGGGCACCCCACCTGTTGGTTCGCCCTGCCCCGTCCCTGAGAACACGACCGTGCCAATCAGAACCGCCAACGCCGGGCGTCGGTCACAGCCGCCACAGGTCGCCGTCTATTTTAACCGGGCCGGCCGGAAACGGTGATTGGATGGCACCATGACGGTCATCTGGGTGGGCCATCAGCGCCCTGTTGCTGCGGCCCGGTCGAATTATGGTTGGTATCGGAACGGTCCGCCCCGCCCCCGCCGGCCGGTGAGCTGGAGCTGCCGGCACGGCAGCGCAGCGAAACTGTTCACAGCACAGTCCAAAAAGTTTGGCAGTCAGCAGACCGTCACCGTCACCCAAGCACCAACGGACCTCCAGCTAACATGTACCGAAAAACACTCCCCCTGATCACACCGCGTCAATACAGGCTGTCCAGCGCGGCGGCCGTCCTGGGACAGCGGGTGCCGATCGGCGGCGGCACTCGCTCTCCAGAGACCGATGCCGTCCGGCCAATAGCACCCTGTAAGTGACGGCCGCCGCGCCGCAGCCGACCGACGGCAATGGACGGACGCAACAGCGGCGGCGTATCGGCGCCCAGGGACCACAGACACTCGCGGGAGACAGAAAGGAGAGTGCTGTTGCCAAGTGAACCGCGCTCGGACGAGCGATTCCGTCACGTCGGGGTTCACTTGTGCCATTGTGTCACGATTCATTTACGATTTGTGTCAATTACGACTCAGGGACAAAAGCAAAAGCCGGCGAGGTACAATTCTGACACACGGGGGAGGGCAGACTTGGGAAGAGTGTCGGTACCCATTAGGAATGCCCACCAGGCCCATCTCGAAGACGTCGCCCATCCCGCAGCGTCCGTGACTGCCGAGCCCAGTGCAGAGGCGGTCGCCGACTGGCGGCGCCGCACCAGCGGGCCGCGGTGGGTCGATAGTCTGCTATTGCAGCCAGCCAGACCTCCGGCCGGTCGACCAGCCGGCCGGCAGCGGCAGGCCGGATGGGAGCCGTACCGGCTCAATAGCGCGAGGCCGCCACGGTTCGATCCCGGGCAAGGACGGCGCGAGCGGCACAGGTGGTCTCATTGATGCCACGGCGGTGGGGAGGGCCGCGGGGCCACCAGCCGGATATTGGGCCCGGCAGTCCGGAGAACAGAGCAGCTTACGTTCACCAAAGTCATCTGGTTGTAGGCCACCGGTACCGACCGACCGTGGAATGTCCCGCCGGTCCCAGCCGTGCATACCAACATGGTCCATAAGTCAGCTAACTTTGATTCATTAACGCCTTCTGGTATCCGGCTTCTTGAACTGAAAGTGCCATGTTTGACATGCATTGAAAAAACGCCACGAACTGTCTATTATTGACGTAGGTACTTCAAAAACTACATATGCTATCAACTACCGTGAAAAACCAATAATATGGTCACTGGGGAGCCAGTGAATGATAATGAATCTAGATTTGGAAAGGCGTCCACGGTGCATCGGCCATGGGCGCCCCTAGCGGGCAAGCAGACGCCTTCATGTGGGGATGGGGATGAATACAAGGCAAACCACACAACCCAGTGTCGTTCCATGTCCAGTGACGACCTTTTCCCGTGAAACCCCCCAACTTCACCTCTGGTCTAGCATTGTTGGCAAATTAACAAAAATGGCAAAGCTGTCCAGTGAGTTTCATGTTAGTGCAGTTTTGTGACAGCATACCAGCGTCACATTCAACAAAACGGATTTAGCTCGACTCCGACACAAGGATAACAAGCGGTACGATAGGACAGCTTGCCAACAAACCAGTCGGTACCGGCGTCAAACACCGGCGCGACATGTAGCCACCATGACGAGGGCTTTTGGACCACAGAAGCACAACCGCGACTCTGCAGGGAGCGATGATTCAATGGCCCAATACGCGCAGCCGTAAAAGTTATCGATTGGTTGGAAATCGAACAGATTTGTCCCGAAAGACAATCACAAAATGCAGACCGTTTCAGCTGAAAACAATGGCTGGTCAACAGAAGGAAAACGTGATCGGCGCTCTCGATCCCCTGAAAGGTCCACTAAATATCCTGTGTGTGTGTTCGCATGGTTTCAGCAGAAACGCAGAGGAGACAACAGCTGTCACAAACAATACGTCCTGATAAACACTAAGCCCGGTTTTAGCCTAATTTATTTTCCTGGCGTTCCGTAGGCCTTTTAAATTTATTATCATAAGAGTGCATCCGGTTTTTGCCCAGATCACGCCGCCATCCGCAGAAAAGCAAGCTTTATTACGTAAAGCGCATTTCATCTAATTGCTAACGTTTTTCTCAACCCAGCTCAGAATGACTATAAAGGTCGTATCGAATGTCACAGCGCAATGAGTCCCAGACGTTCTTGCAAAATACGGCGGAGTAAAAGTGGCTGAATAATATTTAAAGAAATGACCATTGAATACTGGTTGCCTGTTGATCACTGCCAGAGGAAAATGGACTGGTCATTGAGGCTACGAGCTAGTAAGTGTCCCTATCGGCAGAAACGTGAATGTGACTGGTAATAAGACCCCTATGTCCCAATGATCTTCGATTTGGTCTGGTGGCCAACATTACTATGACCGAAGGAGCAACTGTTCATCGGTCCAATGACCGAGCGATGGTCTACAGAGCAATGAATAATGGCCCGATGATCCACTGAGCGATGGCCCACCGATCCCCAGCACCGCGGTGTGGTGATCCCAGGTGCCGGCGCGGCGGACAGACGGCGGGATCGGACGGTGACGGTGGATTTCTCCGAACGGAGCCGCGTCGCCCGGGTATTGATCAGTCGGCAGGCCCGGCCGCTGCCGCTCCTCCTCCTCCTCCGGCAGCTCACACCGCATACACCGCGAGCCGGAGACGGGCCGAGACGCGTCCTTACGAACAGTCTTCGTCTGCAAGACGGAAAAGACACATGACGTGCGAGCCCGCTAGTGCGTATTACCAAGACGCACCTGACTCACAAACTAAACCCTCTGTGCGACCGAGACACACCTGATGCACAGACTGTCTGCTGCGGCGACCCACGGACAGAACAATGCATGCATTGAGAACATTATTTGAGCTGGTCAGAGGCATCGCAGAATACCGACTGATGTCCATGGGCCGTGCGCAAAGTCCGACTTGAGGCGTAGTGCATGAGTCCCTTCTATGCAGAAGTCAAAAATAGCCAACTCTCAAGGGAACATCCTCAAGTACGCCAGTACTTGTGGCAAACTCACGACACCTTGGACACTCGGCTCGCACTTCTGCTACAAATGAGTCGTCAAATAAGGCGCCAAAGCTCCATCGATCCCAGCGACAACAGAAAGGCTCGAAGGCGACAGAAGGCTCGGTGGCAGCAGAAGGCTCTATTGCCGCACAAAGCTCGGTGGCGGCAGTTTGTCATCGCCGCCGCCCAGCTGGTCATGATGTCAGAGACGAGTCACACCTCCGAACCGAAAAAGCGACCCGGCGGAACATGCTACCGTGACGCCCATGGAAAGAGCTCAGCAGGAACAGGAAACAGTTCGCGTCAGTGAATGAATACACACGTGAATCCCACATTCCACTGACGCGCCACACTCACGAACTGTATATAATAAACTACATGACGGATCTGCGACATGGGATTTTCCGTGGCTCGCGGTGCCATCTCTCGCTGGTGGGGCGTTCAAATGTCGGCCGGCGGCGGGCGGCGAGCAGCGCCCGTGGTGCGCCGCACGGTCCGCGCCAGCGACCGATCGGTGGCACGGTCACGATCGCCCCCAGGGATCCGGGAGGGCGGGGAGGGGTCAGGTACCGCCGCCGGCGTGGCACGGCCGCCGCGGGCGGCACGGAGACGCCCGATTCGGCAGAGCCGGGCGCGAGGAAAGGTCGGACGGCAGTGGGTAGATGGTTAGGACAGAGGAGAACTAAGACAGTGACGGAGACACGGGAAGGGGGTACACGGGTGACCGGTGCACGGCTCTGCCGTCCGGCGGGGCTGCTCGGAAGCCGATCGATGGCCATAATGAAGGTGAATGGGCGTCGGGTCGTGACAGTGGGTGCGGCTGATCAATGTCCCGTGCCGCCGCCCCCGCCCCCGCCCGGGGCACCGGGTCTCTGAGCGGACCGACGCTGACTGGTCCCAACCGGCAACTTTACTGGTCAGAAGTTACACTGGCAAAAATACCACACAGGCGAGTGCGGCACGCTGGTCAATGCTCTCCAACCGAACCTCCCGCTGTAACACCAATGGCCCAGGATAGTAGCCTGACGCCGTTGGAAACACCAAGCTTCATTCCCAGCTCCGGCCGTTCAGCCTGGGAACAGGTGCCCACCATTCATGGCGGTATGTGGACATATCGCGAAAACATCGCAAACTGTCACTGAGCTCCGCTATTTACGCGGATTATCACAGAAACACATCGCCACGAGCATAGTTAAACGGAAATTAACACGAAGCGAAAATGTCACGTGTTCGTGATAGCATGCCAGAGAAGTTCCAGGGAACCACGCCAATCCCAATAATCGGTAGTCTCCCACGGATAACACCAAGGTGATTGGTGGATGAGTTTGAGAGCGTAAGCACACGATAAGCAACGATGGGGCATCGAGAAAATTAGTGGTTTCCATTCAAATCCCGACTGTTGTTGAACTGAAACGCCACACGCTACCCACCTGTAATTTAACTGTCGTTCAAAAATCGGAATGCCGCCACGAGCTGACTGATCGTGCACGAACACTGACATCCAAATGTCGGCACGTGAGTGCACGGCATAGCGGCGAGACATACCTTCTGTTTGTCTAGGATTTTCATGGCGAAGTAGTCTTTGGTGCCCTTGTGCTGGACCAGCATCACACGGCCGAACGAGCCCGTTCCAAGAGTCTTCAGCAGGTCGAAGTCTTCCAGTGACGCCGTGTTCTGCGAAAGTAAACACCAGATAAATGTGAGCGACTAGCGAGATCCGTCGGACGGCGGACGCAGAAGTGCCGTTCGGTGAAGCCGACACGCCGATGCCGTATCCCTCCCGTCCAGGGGCGCCCAGAGTTCACACAGCTCCGCCGGCACTGGCGGCCAAGTCACGCCGGTCGCCACCTCCGCTGATTAGCAGTGAGCGGAATTATGGCGGCCATTAACCGAGGGTGTTTGTTTTGCCAGACAGGCGGCTGTCATCAAAGCTTGATGTTTGTTAGAGGTCTGATGCAAAATGGTAGTTTTCCGATCAGAACCAGGTTATGGACCACGATAATGCCGGGTTAGCAATGGTCTATAACGCAGGCGAAAAAGATATTGGCTAGAGTTTCAAGGGATGGTCAAAACAAAAGGGGTTGATCTGTAGTGAGTGCAATACAACAAAGCATGTAAACCAGTGGGCTCATGTCTCATTCACCCGCAAAACATTAGCCAGAATCGTTAAGTGCCCAAGGTCAAAGAGCTAAGTAGAGTTGTACGCTGAAACGAGCTAGACGCAATCAATCTAATGACAGAAATGAGACAATGTTCAGGGCTATACAAACTACTGTGCAGCTTCATTCAATCACGCAATGCCAGGTGAGAATACGATTAAGAGTGGTAGTGTTGCGATTTTGGTTGCATTACTAAGCCTTATCGAACAAGATCTTGAGGGCGATAACGGCCAATGTCTGAAGACAACCTGTTACAGACAAAAACTCTTAGCCTCAAATTCTCAAATGCCGGAAAACCCAGCCGAGGTTTTATCGTTCAGGAATTACGGATAAAGAACGCAAAAAAACTAGTTTCTATATGATCGCGACTACTGAGATGACACAAATAGCCCATGATCAAGCACATATTCTTTAACTCGGTTTAATCCGTAAATTTTGAAGAACTGAGCCAAAAACAAATTTTGTGAGCTTGGCAAGAATACAAAGCAACACTTTATAAGACAAGGCTCTTCCATTAATAAAAGTGCAATGTAGAAGATGACTGAATCCATGCCGGTTTGGAAAACCCGATGCGATGGTTTGCAACGAGCTACGAAGCACCCGGAGGGTGGTGGTGTCTCGCTGACAGCCGCTCGAAATCAAACTGTGCAATACATGGGTACTGCGAAACGGAATCACATCAGCGTATAAACTGACAAGACAAAACATGGGCAACGCAGTGTTGCACATCCAGTCATGAAGGCGGAAGTCGCACGAGATGTTATCAGGCACCGCCGAAGCAGCTTGTTTACAGTAACTGCAATACAGTCGATATGACGCCATCCAGGGACCCCGGCTGCGAGCTTGTTTCAAGCACATCGCTCACAAAGGGATCCGTGGATTGATGGAGATCAGCAGACAAATAAACACATTGTGCAATCGTGTACCAACCAGATGACAACAGGCAACATGGTCAATACTGAACTACTGACCTTTGATGGATTCTTCCATTTCTCCTCAAAGTCCTCCTTCGCCTTCTCCAGAAACTCCTTGACTGAAAACAGAACAGGGCATGAGGCTAGCAAACAAATCGAATCAAATCTTAACTCGAGATAAACAGCAAAAAAAAATACTGTCATTAGATGATCCAGTCTTTAAATGGACTATATTCCAATTGGTTGTTGTTCTTAACTTTGCACACACACACACATTGGATGGTGAGTTCAAGCTTATAGATGTTTTGTTTGGTGCATAGTTGTGTCAAGCAATACCTGTGTCATATAACTGGTGCCAACTGCCAATTAGCTGAAGCTGGGTGTTTGGAGGCTTCAGCAGAACCTTCAATTACTTAACTCAATTATTCAAAAGGATAAAAAGGCAAAGAAGTTGAGCTCCGCCACATTGCCTGCAACTGCTAAATGGTATTTTTATTCCATTTCTATTCCGTATTTCTATTCCAGGACTTTATGTCTACAAACAGCATACCGCAGTCCATTGCCTGACAGAGCTCCCTCAACACTCTCAAGAACAGCACTGACAATAAGACCCTATATTGGAAGTGAGCTCATATAAGGCCCAAGCATGGATCATTATGATGTCACTTGTTCAAAGGGCCATAATGCTATCATCTTTGCCGGTTCCTTCCTTCCTGAGGAAAATGGCTGAATTGTTGGGCTCTACCAGTTAGCTGTCATATTTGAAAAAGTAGGTACAAGACATCAAATGGTATCAGTAAAGCCATTACATCACTGTCAGTGGTAGTAGGTAGGTAGGTGGGTAAGTGGGTAGGTGGGTAAGTTGTAGGTTTGTAGGTTGTAGGTTTGTAGGTTGTAGGTTTGTAGGTTGTAGGTTTGTAGGTTGTAGATTGTAAGTTGGTAGGTTTTAGGTATGTAGGTTGGTAGGTTGTGGGTTAAAAGGTAGGGTTAAGTCAGGTTAGATGTCTTTTACCTAAACTTTATCTACACATTAACCGGTTAGCGCCGATGGTGATGCCAGCTTTAGTGATAGGTACCCATCAAATTAAGATGAAACCAAGGTAAATAAGAGACAAACAAGTGAGATAAGTGACATTTTGTATAGTTCTAAGGACTTAAACACTAATTCAAGTATAATTTCAAATGCAAACACATAGGCACTAGCAAACTATTTTCTGCCATTTATACCATTATTGGTCTAAATCTCTAGTCGGCATGCACACTCTTGCTGAATGCTGCGTAAGGATCCACCAGTCGGGCAATTCTAAGGTGCCAACGAATCAGGACGTTGCAACTGCATGGTCCCTGGTGGCTGGGCACAGGTACCCCACACATAATGAAGATTGGGATAACACAGCCCTGCATCAATCCCTTCACTGGTAGCGGCGTACTTACTCAGCTTGGTTTGAGCGAGTCACCTGACTGTGATGCATGACAAATTCCTTGTGTAAAACATTAAAAAAAGCATCTGGCAACTCAAAGACAAGAGTACATATTTCCCATCCTCCACCCACACGGCAGACCCATGCCACTTGGCGACTTGATTAAAATTAATGAAAAGTAGGTACCTATCATATTGGTGGGTAATTTTGAGTGGGATTATAGCTGCCAACTTGTAAAAATGTTTATCCTTGTAAATCCATTGTTATGTTCATTAACATCCATGGCACAGTCACAACTGATCAAGGTCACACTTCACAATTTCAACTCCAATTTGCAACCTACCATTCTCAGATGCGTCCCCTTTTTTAGAGGTCGCCGTGTTTCCCATGTTGACCGATTCGGAAGACACCGATAATCACAGATTCTTCATAAAGAGTTAATTCAACTAACACTGACAGCCACATTTATAGACACCATATTTGACAATCACAACACAAAATTCCACGCTCCACCACACGACATCACCCCGCCACGCTCCGAGAGAAACAAAACATTCGATTGTCAAACATGTTCTGCTGTCTGCTGGCCAGCGTATGAGCACGATTTATTTCTCGTAATGTAAACACTTTACTTTTAACCCAAGAAACTCTTACGAAATGACTCAAAATATTTTCAAAGTAATATTTACTCCATGTCAATACCAAAAAATACTCTTTATTGAAAAATTCATCGATGTAGTTGGTACTATTTTTCCGCGTATAGTCAATAATCTACAAAATATAAGTTCTTGAAATCACATAAATCATTGGTAAAAAATATTTATTTTCATTTTTTGAAAGCAAATAAAATTTATTGCAGCTACAAGACTTCCAAAAAATTGTAATTCATTTGATCAACAATCGCGATGGCTGAAGCGATGATTGACAAACTAGTAGTACAGTATCTAACACCAGATGGCAGGACAGCAGCGGTTTTGGCGACACAGGTCTCGGCTGGTGCGGTCTCTCAGCTGATCCACTTCCCACGGTCTTCCCACGGTAAGCTGAGTCCCATGATGTATAATACCGCCTTCTGGTGTGTTCCAATGGGCATGCATATATCAGAGAGGGAGGATAGTTGTAAAACGCTATATACGGCCTTGGTAAAACGGCCACGTGGCCTGCCGGCCCTGGCTGGAGGCCGGTCCCGGTCGAGGAGGCTACACTTACAGTTGTCCTGTCCTGACACCTGACAGTGATCCTCAATAGTAACGAAGCTTAACGTACCACTCTCGAGGGCTTTTAAGGGCCATCCGCCGTTCCCTGATCACCATATGATGACTCTTCACCGTGATTCATCTGGCTCCTTACGGTCTTCCATCCGCCCCTGCCCTGACCTCGCCTGCGCCTGATGGTCCTCGCCTGTCCCTGATAGCCCCTTCCCCCTGATCGGCCCTCGCCTGCTCCAGTAGGCCTTTACCTGCCCCTGATAGGCCCTCGCCAGCCCCTGGCCGGTCCCTGGATGACTTCACGCCGGTTCCTGATACCCGTATTCCGGCATGGTAAGGTATAGCCCATCATCACCTTCGTTTGTAGGCCTTCGCCGACCCCTATAATACCTTTTCCTACCCCGTACGTGCCCGACGGCCGACGGCCCTACACTGGGCCCCAGAATCTCAAGTCGGTGACCGAGAGCCCTTCAGACGGCTTTGTGGGACCCATGCGCTGGTCGGAGGGCCCCATACTGACAAGTGACAGGTGACCCGAAGGTTCCTTCACGACCCAAATGGGCCCTTTCTTGACCCAACATTGTCCATGCTGCCCCAAAGGACCACCATACTGACCGCACCTGCCTTAGGAGTTCATATACTCGTGATAAATTGGACTCAGGACTCAGTTTGACGCCAGTTAGAAAGACGAGAAGCCTTACATGATATTTGATGGCCCACTTTTATCGGAATCTTACGCAAGGCTGTGGAGCTTATTGGAGGGTCTGCAAGGCTATGTGGGTTATTGCAAGCTCCGTCACAGATGTCAAACCTGAAATGGGGTGAGCGGAGGTTCGGTGAACCTCGTGTCGGGAATGCCCTTCAAGGAGCCTCAAGCCTGAGTCTCCCGCACCGGAGTTCAGTGGTTCTTTTTTAATGACATTTTAATCATCCCAAATCTTATGACAGGGGTGCTTGAGCCTTACGATGCTGGTCTGCAGTCTTTTTCGGTAGCTTCTACACATTTCTAGCTGCACATCATGACTGACCCTTGTCGCCGTCACATGGCTTAACTGTGAGTAGTGTATCGGCCTAAACCTGCTTCCCCCGCCGCACACCGGTGTGTGGCGGTGCCGCTGGTGACTCACAGTCGAAGGCTGCCGCGGCTCCCAGTCCGCTGGTGCCGGCCTCCTCCGCCGTCTGCTCAGCCGCCTTGGTAGGACGCTGGCCGCGCTCCGAGCCCGTCGGGCTGGTCGGCGACGTGGACTCGGCCACCACATCACCGTTCAGAGTCTTCGGCGGCGGAGATTTGCCTGAAATGTAGGGAGTGTGGCATGTTAGTCTTATGACTGTAGACGGCGCGGCGTAGACGCTCAGTCGTTGGAATATTAATTGTTCGGTGCACTGCTTATTTGTCAGTAAACTCTCCAGAAACATTTATTTTACACGAGACCTGAGAAAATACGATTTCACGCACATAAACCAGTACCTACCACTGATGTGTTACAGAGACGTCAGCAATATTAAAGGAGAAAGTTAATTGCAGGTTAAGTACGTACATGGTGTAAATAATGTGGCGTAAAGCATACAGACACTCCGAACGCAATGATAAACCCATAACTACCGTTTGCCCCGAGATGCTGCGTTTGTTTTTGTAATGTGCATTTATCAGTTATCACTGACGATATTACCAATCTGCTTTACGGCGAGGCAACTGTCGCAGGCGTACCTAGCATAATTCTGCTGTAACTAGATATGTGCAATCTTGTAGCCTGTACTATGTATATTCGTACACATGATATCATTCCAAATCATTGCTATTGCTAGTAACTACTCGGCAGTAACTGGATCTCCGACATAGGCGGTGGTCGCCCACGCTCGATCGCAACCTTTCCTGAACGCTAATTTATGTAGGTGCAGTCCATTACACCTTACATACTATATAGGATCGGGCCCATTAAATGGAGGCGGTCAGAGATGGAAAAGAGATCAAGGGGAGGTCGGTTGGAGACGGAGACGGACAGGGATCGGATGAAGATCGGAGACCTTACGGAGATGGGCAGAGATCGGGAGGAAACGGTCAGAGGGCAATGAGATAGGTGGTCTGCTGAAGCCAAAGAGGCCGGACCTCCGTTCTTGCGTCTTTAGCTAAAATTTCGCTCAATAGATGGCGCCAGTAGTGGGCGCCTGAAGTTATACTGTGCCGCACGACTCTGATGGTAACGCGCGCGCCGCGCGCCGTCAGGGCAGCACTACGACAAATGTATGTATGTCCAAAGGACTGGAGCAGCTTCCGACCCCCTAGAGGATTGACTGGTCGCGTTTTTTACTCATGCGATAGAATCTATTTCCGAATACCACGCGTACCTAATCGTCTATTTCTATTCCGCCCAATAACCGGATCTCGCCGCCAGCAGCGAGCAAGTCATCCGGGCTTCTTCCGTCGCGTCCCACGCCTAATCTACACCCATTCATTGTTAATCTAGGCACTACCAGGGCTACGCGATCGGAACAGGAAATCGGTCATTTCCACATTGAGATGAATGAGCATGTGAAGAGGCTGTGATGTCAAAGGAATGTGACGTAACTGTTACACCCAGATGGTTCCTCCCCGAACCTAGATACTCCTCTCGTCCATCCCGACCCGTGGGTGGAGAATATGATATAACTAATATAAAAAGTCGAGCGTTGCCGATGCAATTTATGCCTTTGCAATTCGCCGACCGCCATTCTACCTGTAATGACAAACAGGTGTTTGTGGGTTCTCGGGCCAGGGGTAAACTCGATGTGACGTCACATTGACCAGCTGTGCCGTCACAGTGCATACAGAGCCCGCAGATACGGCGCCGGCCTTTGACCCGCAGCTGAGAGTGTTGACCATTGGCTTTCAGTGCACTGCACTCGGCATGACCTTTCGGCGAGGACGACCGCGGCCACAAACGATAACACGCTCACTACGGGCTTTGTCCGTAACGGTCCGTCCGTATCAGATCGAACCCGGCCCGGTGCGGTGATCAGCTGAGATCAGCCGTCTCCAGAGACAGAAGGTCTTCAGATTTCATACAAAGCGTCATAGTTTTATTCTGTGGACAATGTAGACTAGAGAGGGTGCCTTATCATTCGTCCTAGCTGCCCGAAGTTTGTACGTACCTATCTAATAAATCAGGTAGAAGGAAAGCTGTTCACATTTTGTTAGTGGATAGAACTTGAATGTTTTCACAGTTATTATACGCTTAGCAATGCCGATATTTGATTGATTGGTATGCCTACACATGGGCCAGACATTCATTTAATTCTTATTCTTGCCTTAGAAGTTATAGGCATATTATAGGCACCTACCGAATTTTAGCTTGCCGAATCCATAGTGATGGAGTCATATGGATGCGAACTGTGAAGTTATTAATTGATGTTCAGGAAGGCTTCTGTCTAGAACACAGTTTTCTGAGCTGCTGTTGCACGTTCAGGTAATTGCTCTCTGGCGGCCGGTGACGCGGCCCTCTCGGCTGCGAGTGTCATCTGTAGCGTACCGAACCCACCCTGGAACGGGCGGACCTGCCAGCAGCAGAGAAGGTGGCGCCACCGTGCCCTGACAGGGCAAACGAGGGACCTTCGTGGCCGATAAGCAGCAGCTCGGTAGTCGACACTATCAGCCATTACCTCCCGTGCACTTACAGGCACCATCTTACGATCTCAAGATCACAAAATCTTATCAGACATCAGTGTTCCATTGCAATATGGTCTGTAGTCGTTTGTCTGAAGGAATGAACTCATTTCTACTCCACTGACATAAACTAGACATCATTCGTTTCCATACCACTCCAAATGTCACTGTTCACTGTGACAGATTATCTCGCGCACGTCATAGGCCCGGATGATCCCGACGAGTGTGCATCCTCCGCTGTCTGCCAGGCCGAGACTGAGGACACAGCGCTGTGACCCTCACACATCAGATACTCGGCTGGCAAAACAAACAGGCACGCGAGCCACGGGCTCGGACAGCGGTCCGTTGAGACGCCGCAGTTGTGGGAGGCTGGGTAGGGGCCATAGTCAGTGGGCGGAGGTCTGGCAGATGCCTAAGTCAGTAAGTCTGTGCGCGGTGGCCAGATGAAGGATCACAAGCAACAGTCTTGTAAGAGACTGCAGACAGCGCTCAGAAGACACTGCATTTGGCGGAAGGCTTTCCTGGTGATCTGGCGAGAAGTTGCAATCAGCTGTACGGGGAGGGGTTGTATCGTGTATCCACCGGTCGGTCGGGGTGGGGGCGTTTGCCCGGCGTCACTCAGGTGTCGGCGGCTGTCGGATTACGTTACTGAATGTCACGCTGCTCGGCCCGTTTGAGTCACACAGCCCTTCCCGAACCGTCACAGGCGTCACGCCGCCATCACGCCACCTGTCACGCTGCCGTCTCAGTTTGGCAGTCGATACAGCCCGTCAAAGACGTCCACAACATTCCAGCTCACCGATCTCAGATGCCTCTGCGATTTACTGCCACTGAAAATTACGCAGCTCTCAAAGAGGAACCAGTTCGTACTGGTATGATGGTTTTAACAATTTTTACTGTTTGGATTGCAATTCCAATTAAAGTTCTGCCTGAGCCTCGTTTGACACGACTGTCGATCTGAGATAAGGAAAACATTCGACAAAGCAACTATAAAAATATATGTGACCGTTAGCGGCTTAAACATAAAATCCTATTGTCAGAAGTTCGCTTGACCCATGTGTCTGCGGTTCGCACTGCCGAGCATCGGTCGACATAATTGCGCGTCTGTTTGTTCCTTTGACGCTGTCACCGACTGTCGAAGCCTCCGCCTCAGGGCATATGTCGGGATACGCGGCTGGCAGGCGGCGCGAGAGCGGCGCCCGAATAACGCTCAACTCAAACAGCCACTCCATTTCGGCCGGCTTATACGGGATCGGCGGGATCTCGCCGTATCGTCGCTCGATTGGACGCCAAACAGACAGCAGCGAGCGTAGCCAGCTGAGATTTCGGCCTGCGTTAGAGCGGAGAGCAGCGGCCGAGAGAGGCTGCTTCAGACAGTAGCGGTCGCTCTGTTGACCATAAACTCCCCATAGCTTCAAGGCTGCACTCATAAATATCTATGAGGACGATGCATGAGGTGCTGTAGCCGAAATGGCATAGCCTAGGGTCATGCATAAGCTACATCATCTAGGGGCAAATGAGCGCGGCCCGGAGATGCATCGATCCTGTGGGCGCGGCGATTGGCCGGGGCGCCATTTTTTGTCACTCTCTAGCCGACCGAGACGGCGGCAATGTGGTTCGGTGGTGCGTCTTTCCGACGGGCTGCCAGGAGGCCATTAGACAGCCCCCGGCCCCTGTCCCCCGGCCCCGGCCCCGGTCCCCGGCCCCAGCCCCAGTCAGTCACAGTCCCGGCCGCAGCCGCCGCTCCGGCCTGGCACCGAGTGCCAACGACGGCTACTCACCGCTGTATCCCAAGGACCCGGACCGACCTATCGGCCGGGCCATGCCAAACGAACTGCCGCCGCGGACAGCCATCGGCAGCCCCGGCTGACCCAGGACAGTGACGGCACCGAGACGGCGCCTCTCTGGCCCACTGCCATCGGCCTCCGTCGTCAGTCATCTGCTGTCGTTCACCGTCTCTCGTCTGCAGTTTTATTGCTCTTGCTCGTCTTACATTTTTCTGCCGTTTGTCTGGTGTCTGTCCTCCATGCTGTTTAACGTTCGTTATTTTCCGTTAGCGTTCTGTTGTCTACCATCTGTAATTGGCTCCTTTATTTGTTATTTGTCGTCTTTTGTTACATGTTTGTCGTGGATTTTCTTTTGCTCGTCACTCGTCGTCTGCCGTGTCTGTTTGTCCTTTGTCCGCGTCTGTCGTCTTATTTTTATTTTTTCTACCAGCCACCTGTCTGATATCGTTTGCAGGTGGTTACTGGCTGCCCGTCACCGTTTCTTTGGTAACATTTATCATAAAAAGTATGTAAGTCTGTTAGCTGTCTTCGAAAGCAGCTGGATGCCTACCTAATGTTGTTTGCTGACGGCTGCCTATCTAGGTATACAGTTACTTTAATCCTCTATTTCAGCTGACGTCATTTTCGAGTCAATTCCCGTCATTCCCAAGCCGACTGTTTTTTTTGTCGTTCTTTTTGATAGAGCTTAAGTTATTCTTTAAACGAGTAATGCAATGGGCAATGGGGACTAGCAGCATTAGCGATGGGGGTCCCCATTGCTATTTCTGCAATTAATGAAAAAAAACAAATGACGCCAGTTCCACTTATATGAGTTGTTGCTTTTTAGGTGCATGCCATTCTGAAACGACAACTGAATGATAACGATAAGAAACTATGTACTGCTATCAGAATCTTAACGGATATGTCCTTATTCATTGTTTGTTACTGTTTGGTTACAACTTGTTTATATAGGTACCGATTACGTTCGTCATTCATGTACGCTAAAATCGTACCAATATGGTATGTGTTTATAACTGTTATTCGGTGTACGGTGGCATTAAGCTGATGTTTTCAATGCTACTTGACCTGACAATTTGTTAGGCAGTAAGCAATTAGGCACCCTATAATGCATGCTCACGATAATAAATTTCTTTTCTCATCGGCGTGTGAAATCGCATTCACAAGCTGATTAAAATGAAAGCTGATTGAGCCGGATACGAAACAAAAACTTGACCCCGGTCGAGGGCCGGTCACTCCAGGGATGCCCTGGCACGTTTGGGGTCCGCCTTTAAACTGTTCGTCGCCTTGGCCGATCCAAGGTACTCACCATCTTTGTCTTTGGAGTCGGTGGCATCCTTCTTTTTCTTCTTGCCGAATAGGAAACTCATGATTGACGATAGCGCAACCTGGAACAGACGGAGCTTTGTCAGGACAAGCCCATCCGTTTTACGTAGATTTATTTAGACACGACAGGATTGAGACGTTGATCTTACTTATCAGTAAAATCTCACCAGCAATCCTCCACTGATGACACCATCTCTTACATAATCTTGCCGCCTCCTCCCATAGACCGATAGACGGCGTCTGCCGGGGTCAGGACTATATTCCGCGGCCGCGGTGTCCAGTCAGCAGAGTCGGCTGCTGACGCCGTCATCTGCGCTCCCCGGCGCCGGTCGAATCTATAGACAGCGGCGGTGCTCGTCGGCGCGGGACGCTCGTCTCTGCCCTCCCTCAGCGGCGCGGCGGCCCGGCCCCAGAGGACAGCGAGGGCACAGCCTGGCGCGGCTCATCAGCGCGCTCACTGACATACTCAGCACTCAGCACAGGCCTCTTCGGGATGTGACTGACCAGGGTGGCTATTTTCTACCCCCGAGGAATAGCAGACAGCAATGTAAAAATAATCCATTATCATGTCCTTTGTCCTCCATGTCAGAGTTCCCATACTATGTGCTAAATAAGTAAAATGTCAACGTCATGACGTGATAGAATGTCCAGAAATGACATCCGAGTGCGAACTTCTGGTTCACACCGCATTCAAGTTAATAACTTTTATCTACCTATGCAATGGGGGACCAAACTTTCTGAATAAGCGCTTGATTGCATCTAAATGTGAACCATGCCACACAAGTTCCAGTAATTCCCCTGAAATTACAACTTGCCTCAGAGCGCGGCTTTGGCATTCTCGTCACATCCGACCCCAAACGTTAGGCCCGCTCTCGGCTGTGTATTTGTATTACGTCACGCCAACGAATGACTGCTGGCAGAGACCCTAATTAGCCGGCTCGTTAAAAATAGACCGCTCTGGGGCCAGCGGCAGGAGACGGGCCGATCGTGTCAAAATATCGCCCTGCGCGGAGACCGCGACGAGCGGACGACGAGGGTGGGCTGCGAGCCGCTCAGCCCTGAAATAGACGGGCGACGGCCGATCCACCGGGGCTTCCTCGGCACTCCAAGACAGGCCGTGACACACAAACCCGGTTCGCGGCCCGATAGAGTGTTGACGGTCGACTGGTGGGCTGCCACCGGCAGCCGCGGCGCAATGTTGGCTCGGCGGCAACTCTGTTTTCTGTCGGACTGCGAACGTCAATAATCGTGGAAACGAGTACCATGCTGTTTTGATATTGTATTCGCTGTTGGTACTCGTGGAACTGGGTGAGTTTCTGCCGTCAGGGGTGGTGCTCGATGCTTGCCGTGGATGGACGGCGGACGCGTCTCCCCAGTAACCCGGGACGTCTCGGCGGAGCTCCCATCCGCCATCGGGCCACGTTGGCTCGTCTCCCGCCGTCTTCGTCAGCCTGTTTGGCAGCGAGCGAGCGCCGACCAGACCCAAACACGGCGTGGCCTGGAGGCTGCCGTCGCCCGCGACGGGGCCACGATATGGGCGCATCAGCATCGGTGACGGCGCTTTATTCTCTGCTGTAGAAAATCTGGCTACAGGCATGGTCGGAAATATCCAGGCACGTTTCTACAGACAAATGGATTGATTAACAGCGCATAAGATGAATGTATTTTTACTTCGTCTCAATAAGGCGTAACGTATTTACCATTAGGAGTGTGGTCACAGCACCCGAATACACAATGAAATCGGTAGGTACCTAACTACATTAGCCGCAAATACAAGTAGTCCACTTCAGCGGATAGATTCAGTTGCTACGATTAATGAGTTTGTGTCAAGGCTGGGTGCTGACTTTCCACAAGAATCGCAGAACCTGTTGCACCTCGGGTTAGTCGCTTTGTTTACCTGCATAACAATGAATAATGTAAGTTCTCGATCATTTGTTCAGTTAGATTGATAATGCAGTAATGAACTCTGATCTAGGGTCAGTATAAAAGGGTGGCCGTGCCCGTAACAGCTATCGAGACAACTTCCTAGCCTGACGATGAGAAAAGGAACCAACACAATCAAGAATCGGACACGAGCACTTAGCCGCCGAGCTCACATCACTAATGGCGAGTGAGGCGGCACGAAAGCTGATCGAGCGAGAGAGAGAGAGAGAGAGAGAGAGAGAGAGAGAGAGAGAGAGAGAGAGAGAGAGAGAGAGAGAGAGAGAGAGAGAGAGAGAGTCGAAGGAATGTCGTGACGTCAGAAGCCGTGATGGCAGGCGGGCCGTCCCCGTTCTATGGCTGACGTTAGGCATGGGTTGGAGCCGGTCGAGGCCTCAGTCAGCCCGGAGGCAATGCCGCGGGTCGGCGCCGCTGTGTGTGACAGCCGCCCCCCCCCCCCCGCACACACACACACACGACATGGCCCTCTGGCTCGGCCTGCGCCCGGGTCACCCTCCACCCCCTCCCCCTTCCCTGAGGTCATGGCACGCGTCGCTGGCCGGCCGCCGCCAGTGTGCGTGACGTCACCGGTCGCCGGCTGGTGACAGGCGGCGCCGGAGGGCATGTGTGCGGTCACAGAGGCCGGGATCGTGCCTCAGCCGTTAGCCACAGGGTCAGCGGGCGACCGACGGTGTTTACGGGCCGGCCGGGCCGCTAGTTTATGCCGAGTCTTCTTCCGGTGTGCCTGTTCAAATATTTTTCTTGGAGAATTGGTACAGTGGACTGTCACTGTTCTACGAATAACAGAAGAGCTCTGTAGTGCGTTGACAAAAAATGCGCATGTCACTCTTGTGAGATTCAGGTCCACAGAACATGATGCCTAAAAGCAACAGTAAAAAGTTGTCGCTATTCAAGTTTTAGTTATCGATAAAACGCATATCTGTTACGTACTCGAGACACTCGCTATTTAGCACGAATCCTAACATATAGAGCTTTATTAGTAAATGCAAATGGTTTTCACTGCACACACAATATTTCTTGAATACTTTTGTAATGTATCTTTTCCCTTTTCTCACATGAACTCAATAAAATCTTCCTTTTGACTTGCGTGACTTGTGTAAGTGCCTCTATAAGAGGTCACTTACGTCACATCTACGTACCGACTGTCGTTAGCGATTGAATCGTAAAAATGTTATTTCAGAATAAGTGCAACAGATTTTCTGCTTCGCCGAAAATATTTTGCATCGACATAAAATGTACGGCCCTCCAGCAAAGAGTGGTTGGTTAGCCTATGTGCTTTTGGTGTAATAACTTTGAATGACAGAGACACTCCTGTAAAATGACACACACTTCGGTAATGGTTTTCAACAGCCATTATACGTATTCATCAATGCAGATCGCTTATTGTGATGTTGGCAACCAACCACTAAATACCTGGAGGGCCGTAGGGGAAGCTGGGGCAATGCCGGAGTTGGGGCAAAGCCGAAATTCGAGCTATTTCGAAAACCGTACGACATGGATGCCACCTGTCAGTGATGCTCTGAAGCTTAAGTGACTACCAATTATCGCATGTTTGTTACCAGTCGTCATTCGGAATACTTCGGCTGTGAGGGCGCCAAGAGCGTTTTCAAGGTACGTTTCCTTTGTACTACATGCGTCTTCGAAGCTGCATTTCCTACTCATTATGCTACCGTTTGTCTGGCCAATCGGTCAAGTAATCTTCAGCACGTCTTTGCATAAGTGTGCTGCCTATTTGAAATTTATACAGCACGTTGAAAAGTTATGGGCCTGCAAATGAAAGTATGGCTGGCTGGGGTAATGCCGAAAACGTGCAATTACGCGCGTTAAAGCACGCTACGTGAACTTTACCGCTGTAGAATAGCAACGCGTATTTTTAGTCACACAAATTACACTTTTAACGGACACAACGGCCTGTTACCATAAGGAATGATTTACCTGGCCTTTTCTTATTATATCACACAATTATAACTTCCAGTGTGCACCAAGCGTCCTCAAGCTCTTAAAACGCGTGTCAGCTTTGACGAATTCTGGATAAAATTTGAGATAAAATAGCACAAAATCAATTTCGGCATTACCGTAGATCATTTCTCCCATTTTCGGCTTTCCCCGCAGTCCGGGGCAACGCCGAAAAAGTCACTTCTTTGATATTTTTAGTTTGTGCGCTTAACGGTATGCGAATTCATTAAATGCGCCTGGTATGTTTGAAAGGCAAAAGACTGGCCTCTCGAATGACGCCAACAAGAATAGCTTGTTATGTTGTCTACCTTGCGTGCTACGGGCGTCAGAAAAAAAGTATTCGGCGTTCCCCCAACTTCCCCTACATATGCTGTGTTGAAAGCATTAAATGTAGCCTTCACTGACGACAAATAAGCTGATGATTGATGATCCCTGCAGTCCCGTCAAAATGTAGATAGCTCATTAGACTTGTGACTTGTGACTTGTGAGTGCCGAGCGGAGGCAAGGAAGCTGCTTCAGCAGACCGTAAAAGATTGTCCATTGCACTTTTAATGATCGGATCGTAATAACATTTTATATTGACCAGCATATTTTTTTTTACCGTCATCCGTGCTCGCTGGCGTCGATCTCCACCCGACTGGCGTGGCCTGGTAACTGTCTGTTTTTCAGAGCCGTCCGCCTATTTTCGAGACTCGCTGTCACTGACACCGACTGAAACCAGATGTCATCGGAGACTACCTCTATGCCTTCTCTCGGCTCGCAGTCACATCAAATAAAAACCTGACCCTACCCTCATATACCATCTATTTAAACATATAAACACAATGATTGGGTCGTTTCTTCGACTGAGGTGCCGACACAGTTGTTTTTTTTATAATCACTGTATGTCATGATGGGGCGACTTTGAACTAATTATGAACGGTGTCTGCCTGTTAGAGTGGCAACTGAAACCGTACCACCTCTGCTGACGCTAGCGTAACGGTTTCAGTTGTCACCAAGCCAAGGCATTGTGTATTTGCAGCGTATAACGGGGACCGTCTCTAGTCAAATAAACGTCTGCGTGTTGAGGCCGCCGCTGCCAGCCGAACACACGCAGACGACCACACCCATGCTTCTGTCCAGCGCCCCTATTATGAATACCTATGGTTTCAGAACAAGACTCGCT